ATGAGGGGGTTTTATCTCTTTTTTTTTTTTGTACAAATTTGCTTGATGGTGAACAATTGGCATTCTTTCACATGCAAAGATGTTAGAATTTCCAAATTTCCATATGAGGAAAATGTAAGTAATGGGCTGGGGAGATTACTCAATGATTACAGTGTTGCTGTACAGGCCTGATGTGCTAGTTCAAATCCCTAGAATTAATGTAAAGATGTAAACACGGTCATGCACATACCTGTAACCTGAGAGCTTTGTGGGGTGGAGACAAAAGATTCTCTAGGGCTAGCTGGTTTCCAACATAGCTTCAAGTTAAGTGAGAGATCCTGTCTCAAGAGAATAAGGCAGAAAATGTTAGAGTAAGACTCCAAACACTCTCCTCTGGTCTTTGTTGTGCATCTAACCAGATGTGTGTTTATATGGCACAAATACAAACAAAGAAAAAAAAACTTAAATAAAAGCAGCAGTTGGAAGCAGCCCTGTATCTGATGAATTCATATGGAAATTTTGCAGTATCTTCTGATGGCATGGTCGTGAAGAAATAAAGTTTCCTATCTCGTGACCTGTACAGAAAAATGGCGCAGTCCCTCTAGAGGGGAGTTTACAGGTATAGATCAGCAATCCAGTTGAATTTATCCTTGTTCAAGGTGGTGGTTTGAAGGAAAATGGTCACCAAATGCACTAGTAGGAGGTGTGGCCTTGTTGGATGGGTGTGGTCTTGTTGGAGGAAGTGTGTCACTGTGGAGGTGGGCTTTGAGGTCTCATGCCACACCCAGTGTCAGGGTTCATTTCTTGTTGCTTGAAAGATATAGGACACTCAGCTACCTCTCTAGCAACATGTCTGCCTACACACCACTATGTGCCACCATTATGATACAAACTGAACCTCTGAAAATGTAAGCCACCAACTCAATTAAATGTTTTACTTATAAGAGTTGCTGTGATCATGGTGTCTCTTCATAGCAATAGCTACCCTAACTAAGACATTTAGACAGTCCCATGTTTCAGAATCTACCCCTAAAACAAAAGTTTGTCAAAAATAGCACACACACACACACACACACACACACACACACACACACACACACACACACACGTAGTCAGAAGTTTTTCTGGTCCTACCAGGCCTCTCCAGTCCCTTGGCCAGCTTATAAAAAGATCACTCAGAAGCTTATATTAATTATAACTGTTTGGCCATTAGCTCAGGCCTACTACTGACTAGCTCTTACACTTAATTAACCAATAATTCTTATCTATGTTTAGCCATTTTGCTTGGTATCTTATCCCAGATCTGCCTTGACATCTTGCTTCCTCTGTATCTGTCTGGTGACCCCTGACTCAGCCCCTCCTCTTCCCAGAATTCTCCTCATCTCCTCGTCCCACCTGTACTTCCTGCCTGGATACTAGTCAATCAGTGTTTTAGTTATCAACCAATCAGAGCAACACATATTCACAGCATACAGAACGATATCCCACAGCACACAGGCACACACACACACACACACACACACACACACACACACACACACACACACACACACACTGGGCTCTTCATTATACCATGTGGTGTAAATAATTTGCCAGGCATGCTGTTAGGGCATTCTAAGGACATTAGATGCTTATTATACAATGACAAAAATTAATAATCATTGCATTGCACTGTCATTAAGAACCAGAAATTTCCTTGAAAGGGAAATTAGAGAAAATAGTCAAGATTAAGTAAAACTCTTGGATTCACCTTGAAAATAGCACTGAATTTGTGATGATTATGTCTTAAAGGGAAACAAACTAAAAATCCTATTCTACATGGAGTCTATATTTTCAGTGGCAAGCAGTGAATATCCATGTGACTGAAGCATTATAATGTACTAAACTACTTACCACATGAAATATCAATGTATATTCTTCAAAGGAAAATATGAATTTAGATAAACATGCTAAATATGAGATTTCTTTCATGGAGGTTATACTTCACATTATAATATTAAATGTTCTCTGTGAGAATAATGACTCACATCTATAATCCAAGCACTTAGGAGGTTGAGCAGTAGGATCACTATGAGTTCAAGACTAACCTGGCCTACATAGATAATTCTAGGATAACTAGGGATACAGAATGAGAATCTTAGGTTTAAAAATATGACATATAGAGAAAACAATTAAACACTCTGAGAAAGTCTCTCAGTAAAGAACATAAAATTTATCTTAACATAGCATGTACCTTGAGTCCTCTGTGTGTTTTCAGGAAGACTATTAGAGGTTATGGAATTTATACTACTTCATTATGGCACAGATGTACCCTAAGAAACAATGGGAAGTGTAGTCTCTGGATACTTATTTTTTTCATAAAATGACAAGAGTCCTGATATCATGTACTTAGTAAATTTATAATACATCTATTTGGGGACCAGTGAAATGTCTCATGGGCAAGAGTATGTGCTTTACAGCCTAATGACCCAAAGTTTGATCTCTATGTTCCACTATGGAAAGATAGAATCAACTCTTGCAAGTTGTACTGACCTCTCCACACAGAAGTATAAGCACATACACACACACACACACACACACACACACACACACACACACACACACACAGACACACCACACATACATACAAGTGAATATAATTTTAAAAAATTAAAAATTGTCTGTTTTATGATTTGTTCATCCATTCCCTTTATAAGAAAGTGTCTTGCCAGGTGGTGGTGGGACACGCCTTTAATTCTAACACTTGGGAGGCAGAGGCAGGTGGATCTCTGTGAGTTCGAGGCCAACCTGGTCTACAAAGCGAGTTCCAGGACAGCCAGGACTGTTACACAGAGAAACTCTGTCTTGAAAAACCAAAAAAAAAAAAGGAAAGTGTCTCACCTGTCCCAGGTTGGCCTTAAAATCTTTAACTACCTGCCTCCACCTCCCAAGTGCTCGGTTTACAGGCCTGTAAACCTGTATCACACCTGGCCTGGATACATAATGTAACACACAGGACATTGAAGATCTGCTAGATGTCCACTGCTGTGCTTTGTGATGTGGAGAGATGGAATATAAATTGCCAGGGAGATCTATGGGTAGAGTCTTACAATACACTGCCCCTATGGAAATAATAGAAGACTGAAATGTTTAATGTGACTGACAAGCAAAATATAGGAACTTTGCACTTACATTTGGAAGGGAGAATTAAACTATGAGGAGTGGAAACCAGACAAAGGATTTCCTATCAAAGGAAGCTAAATAATGTGAGCAATTCCAGAGGGATTAACAGTAGTCTCATGTGTAGAAGACATGGAACAAGTTTGCTATGAATCTGTGTCTCCTCATAATGTCAGAAGCTACCCACAAAGTCTCACCAACATGGTCACATTGACATGAGCTAAGCAAGGACAATACCAACAGACATGCCAAAGTGGGCAGGGAAAGCCCAGGAGGCCTCAGTTACACAAAGAACTACAAGCAATTACAGAATGCTAAAAACAGGAGAAATAGTCTTCTCCAGGGAAATGTGGAGCAATTGGGTCTCCAATACCTAATGGTCATCCCTCGAAATATATACAAGGAACATTATACGAACTAAGTATATTGTATTTAGAAATATATATATATATGTGTGTGTGTGTGTGTGTGTGTGTGTGTGTGTGTATGTGTTATATGTATGTATATACACACATATATATATATATATATATATATATATATATATATGCATGTAACAATGATTAATGAAAAAGGGGGCCATGAATTGGAAAGAGAGAAAGTAGGATATATGGGAAAGCTTACAAAGAGGAAAGAGAATGGGGGAAATGATATAATTATATTATAATCTCCAAAATAATAGTAATTAAAAAAGGAATACTCTAAAAGCCCATGTACACACACACACACACACACACACACCCCAAACAAAGAAAACCTGGAGTCAGGGTACAGAAAGGTCAATATGATAATAACATGGTCTATAGTATGACAAATCAAGCTTCACCATTGCTTTCCCATGAGTAGAATGAGGAGATAGAATACATAACTCACAAAGTGAAGATGGAACAAAAAAAAGAAAAAAACAAAACAAAATAAAAAAAATAACAAAAAAAGAGGCAGGACAAAGCTGAGAGGTGTTTCCAATGTGCATGGAAACAGAGTACTTGTCAGCTGTTACCATGATGGTGCAGATGGAGGCAAGCTGAAGAATGACCACCTATTGTGGACAGGGGAAGGGGGTTACATCATATTCTGTGGTTAGTGAAGGGCCAGTGAGAGATACTGAGTCTTGAGTGTGGTTGTCAGCTCTGCCATTTGCAGAGATAAACATGGAGAATGAATCATTAAGTGAAGAGCTCTAGCCTCACATCCTGATGAAGGATAAAGACATGATAAAACTCAAATATTGGTAGTGTGTCCAAAATGCTATGGATTGTCTGAAGTAGAATTGGTAAGACTGAGACATACATTATCTGTTTATGAGAGACAGTGGGTGAGAAAAAGAAAAATTATGAAAATAATGAGACCAGAGTTTCTGCTCTAAGTACCCAAGTCTCCAGTAATGACCATAGTGGACACAAGAGCACACCAGGAATGTATGTATGGGAAGGATAATGAGTTCAGGCTTGGAGATCTGTGTCTGTCATGTTCCTGTTGTCCCTTCCAGAGCAAACAACATTTAAAGATTTTAATATAGACCCTTCACCTCTGTCCAGACCAAGATAGAAGATGTGAAGCCTTTGGTATAGTGGGAACACACTATTCCAGGTTTCGTGTTGGCACATGACAAAAGCCATCACAGTGTTCCTTTGAAGGCTTGCTTCTGAGGTGTACCCGGTGAATCAAAACATTCAATGTGATGGCCTCTGAAGGAAAATCCCACAAATTAGATAAAAAATAGAACATGATGACCACAGGTGGCTATGTGGCTTGCACTGTTAGATTTTCAAAGACTTATCTTCATGCATGATCAAAAGCAGATGGAAATGTGCACTCCCACTCAACACCGATCTCTCTGTGTTTCTTGTTTTAATGTGCAGGACAGGAGCGAATTGGAAAAGACTCCAATTATGAGCAGGAGGGTAAAGTTCAGTTTGTGATTGATGCTGTCTATGCCATGGCACATGCCCTTCATCACATGAATAAGGATCTGTGTGCTGATTACCGAGGAGTATGCCCAGAGATGGAGCAAGCAGGGGGAAAGAAGTTGTTGAAGTATATCCGCAATGTTAACTTCAATGGTGAGTCTCCAAATGTCTGTACTATTGGGAATGCTAAGCAAATATCATCTCTTATTTCATAAGCTAAAGAAATCACATGATGGCATGGTTATTGACTCAAGAAAGATCAAAACCATGCTAATTATATACTTTCAAGTGATCGAACCAGTGTGGGAATGGGTGAGGAAATGAAACTTAGAAAAGAGAATGAATGACTACATATTAGAGGGCTATGTTATGTTCTTTTCTTCGAATTCAGATCTTTCACAAGAAGCCTTTTTTTTCTTTAGTGAATGTAGGTGAGGGAGAGAGGAAAGAAAGGAAGGGAAAGAGGCAGGAGATTCATCATTCCAATATCATAAGGAATGGTTGAAAGTTGGTATACAAACTACATCTCAGGTCATGAGCTTACCCCTTAAACTACAAAACCTTCCTGTGATAAGCTACCCAAAAGAGACTAGTAAATGTAAATGGGCAAAATGAGTAAGTAATGCAGAAGACATGACAGGCAATAATAATTTTCCTATAATCTGGGTCTTACAATGTCTTGATGCTTCTCATATTAAAACTTAAGAGATTCAATTAAAGCTCATTGAATGAGTAATGTAACATGCAATCGATCTTGTAACGAATAATTCTACCTGTATCACAAATTACCACCATAGTAACAATAAACACACTAAGAAGGAAAACATGAGAACAATTAACTCGGGGAAACAACACCTGACTATAAAAGATAGAGACAAAAATTGCCATATTCACCATGACCAAAATCAACTTGTAGTGGAAAGGGTTTATTTAGATTATATTTCACAGGACAGTCCTTTAGAGAAGGAAGTCAGGGCAGGAACTCAAGGCAGGAATCTGGAAGCAAGAACTGAAGCAGAGACTATGTAGGAACCTGCTTATTCCCCATGGCTTGCTCAGCGTGCTTTCTTATAAAACTCAGAACACCTGCCCCTAGGTGGCACCACCCCCAGTGTGCGGGGTCCTCTCTATCAATTATCACTAATCAAGAAAATGCCCTATGGGATTGCCTACAGGCAATATGATGGAGGAACTTTCTCAATAGGATTTCCTTTTTCCCAGATAACTCTACCTTGGGTCAGTTGATAAAAACAAACAATAAAATAAATCATAACAGCTAGTAAATACACATTTGGGGTGTTGATAATTCTGATACTAGCTTTTACATGCAATAGGACTGAGAAATTATTAAATGTATTGTATACAATAAGAAATATGTTCAGTTATGTCAGTAAATTAATAGAAATTGTGTAAGATTAAAATTTCAGATATCATATCAACATGAATTTGTGTGTATATATATATGCAAATAGGTATAAAAATAGCTATACATGAAGGTATGCATATACGGCTGATGCTATTTACATCTGTCTGCCTAGAGGTCAAAGATGGCATCTTGGAATAAACAAGAATACCTAGAACTAGGATCTTATTAGGGATATCATTTTCAGTCCAAAGAACCAGAACTCCTTGCAGAAATATATTATTTTTCTGATTTACTTTTCTCATTTTAGGTAAATAAATAAATGTGCTAAGAAGAGAAACTATCTGGCTCCCACTTTGCAACTACCAAATGGCAGGGAGCAATCTATAATTCACATCTCTTTCCAATCTGCTAAGAAGAGTTCAGGCTTCCTTGCACATACTTAGGAATTTGACTTATATTTCTTATTAAGCGTGATTGCACTTCTCTAGAGACTTTGGTAAGAAAGTCTATTTACCCCTAGGAGAATTTTTTTTTAGACTGGTTGAGTACAACTCAATAATTCTGACCTTCACATTCAGGAAAATGTTGTTTTACTTACAGATAATAGTTTCTGGAAAGTATGACCACAGCTTCTCCAAGTGGGAAACCTCTTGCTGCAAATGGGAATGGGGTGGGAGCTAATTCAAAGATTTTCCTTCCTGGTCACCTTTTCCTACATCACAAATACATGCAGAGACCTGAGTACAAATGCATTCTAGTTGTCTCTTTGCTGGCTAATAGCTCTAAATGGAAATATTTTCTAATGTAACTTTAAACAACTTGTGATAGAAAACTCTGAAATAATAACCATATAATTAATAAATTTAATCAGGAATATGCCTATAGCTAGACTTACTGATTCCTAGGAAAGAAATGGAGGGTCCAATGGATACTGTAAAATCACAACATCTAAAATATTTTTACTTTCCTCTCTAGAGAGGTGAGATCCATATTCACTTTATCTGAATCTAGTTTGTAACTAGTTTGAAAGGATGTTATGGAATATCTAAAGTATAAATTGAAGTTGAGTGCTGAGTGGGCTTCTTGACATATTTGCACTATAAACAACAAACCTTAAACTACCAAGCTGGAAGAAAAGCAAGATGCCACCCTCACAGGTAAAGGTAAGTGGTCAGGCCACATTTAAAGCTGAGGTTTCCATGGCAGCCAGTATAAGTTTTTATACATATAATTCTAATTGGCTTTGCTGATGCAATGGATCAAGAAACTGTTATCTCCACTGGCCTGGCCAAAATGTAGAATCCATGTTCTCCTTGGCTCCAGCAGCATGGTTTAGGATGGCCTGTTGAGCAGAAAGATTAGCAGAACATGAATCAGTACAGAAATCCTGGTTCTGCACGACAAACAGAAACGAGAAGAGAAAACCCTTCGGGTAAATGCTTTGATGCAGAAAATAGTTTTGTCATCTGGGCATCAGGATCCTTAAAGCTTCTCTGTTCTGGAAGAAAAGCAGTTTCTGTCACACACTGAAATCACTACACATTTTAGACTTGGCTACATTCTCTCAGTCGTCATCTGTTCTCTGCTACCTGCTACCTGTTAGATCACAGATCCTCTAGTGTTTGTTATTTCTCTCTCTCCCTCTCTCCCTCCTTCTCTATTTCTTCCTCTTTGATACTCCACTACAGTTCTAGCTCTAGACAAAGTTGTTACGAAAGGATAGTGTGCTGTGGCCTTGAAGCACCCCACACATACACAAATACCTTGTAGTTGTGGGCAAGCTTAAGATGACTTTATATCTTTGCCTTTTTGATTTGTAACTTTTGGCAAGAGAGAAACTCCTTTTCTCCTATTGGAACAGAATTTCCTTCAAGACCTTTGTCATGTTCCCTATGTTATGACAATCATTCTCCTTACCCTTCTAATATCCTACTATAAGATCTACTCATGGTTGCCTATGGCTATGAGCCTATAACTTTCCCAATAGAGTTCTTGTGGGGACTAGAGGCATACCTCAGCAGCTAAGAGTCCGTCCATACTGCTCTTTCAGAGGACCCTAGTTTGGTTCCCAACACAAGGGTTAGATGGCTCACTATTACCTATAACTCCAGGTCCAAGGCTTCTACAAGGACCTGTGTAGCTGGAGAGTTTCTCTCTAGCTCCCACCAAGCGCTGCCACACCCGGAGCCCACTTATAAAATAAACACACCGACTCATATTATTTTAACTGCCAAGCGCTGCCACACCCGGAGCCCACTTAAAAAATAAACACACCGACTCTTATATTATTTTAACTGCTCGGCCATTAGCTCAGGCCTACCATTGAATAGCTCTTACTCTTATACTAAGCCCATTTTTGTTAATCTATATGTTGTCACATGTTCCATGGCTTTACCTTTTGCCTCTACATGATGCTCCCTGGACAGCAGCTGGTGTCTCCCCTACCTGCCTTCCTGTCCTTTCCTTTCTCCTCTCTGTTAGTCCCGCCTATACTTCCTGCCTGGCTACTGGCTAATCAGTGTTTTATTTATCAAACAATCATCCACAGACCTGTACTCACATATGTAAATATTCTCTCTCTCTCTCTCTCTCTCTCTCTCTCTCTCTCTCTCTCTCTCTCTCTCTCCCCCCTCTCTCCCTCCCTCTCTCCCTCTCTCCTTCTTGGTCTGTCTGTATGTCAAACACACAATTTAAAAATAAAATATATAATCCCAGGGTCTTGCAGAGGTTGTGAAGGGTAATTCGGGATCAGTCATCCTTTCTGTGATCCTGCTTTCATAGGTTATAATGCTGCCCATTTTGACTAGTAGCCCTTTTTCTTTTACTTGGTGTTTCTGCATTCTGGTCCTCACACCTTACAGGATCTCTGTGGGCAAGCACCTTCTCTTTCATAGCTTCTTTCCTCTTCTCTGGACTTTTGTTTTATTGTTTTCTGTTCACAAAGTCCATTGAATACACTGCCTATTTTTCCTTTTAATAAGTCCAGGGGTAGGTACTGTTAAAGGGGACTGTAAGGGGAAAAAAACACCCTGGGAATAATAAGCTCATTTCATTAAAAATGCATTTAGAAGGTCAAAGCTACACAATACACTATTAGAAATCATCATTTAGATAAAGTATTCATCTCCTCCACTATAATTTTTAACATGAACTTTAACAGGAATGGAAAAGGCATGACAAGAATCATTTTCCTTCACAAAGATTTTGAGAAGGGAGAAAGATAAGGCCATGTGTCCTGTTCTGAGGAAGAATGAGTGGATGAACAGGAGATTGTTTGGGGCTCTGGGCCTCAGACATACTTTATCTCTCCTCTCAAAAAGTATGAAAGGCTCCTGCCACATAATTTAATGAATAGAAAATGGAGTATTTAGAGCAAAGCACAATGTGAGTCCGAGCATCCCGAGTGAGAGAAAAGACTGGACATCTGAATAGCAATGTCTTGTAGCACAGTAATAGGATTCTCATTTCTCCCTAATGACATGCAACATCACATTTCATCTCTTGTCCTTACATACTTGGAACATTTGCTAAGAGCAGGACACCGTTGTTGAAACGTCTCTGTTGCATCAATAGTCATTTCTTGCTGCTGCTTGCTGCCCTCTCATTGTGGGAAACTTTGTGTGACACGGAAGAGTATATGTAACAACAGCAAAGGGGGGAAAGTCTATGAATTAGAGAGAGAGCAAGTTGGGGTGCATGAGAGGAGCTAAGGGAAGAAAGAGAAGGGGAAATGACATGATTGTATTTCAATTTGAAAAAAAATTCAAAGAATATTTTTAAAAAGAATTGTGATGAAATGTTTATTACAGTCTCTGGTGATTATGTCTTGGCAATGTATAGAAGAAGCAAATTGAAATGGTTCCTTTGGCCACAAACAATCCAACCATTGACTCAAATTGGTAGGAACAAAGCAATGTTCACAGACTTCCAGTGTCCACTCCCACTGTGGGCTCTACACTGCTCTTTGGTAAATAGAAAATGTTTCTAGAAATGGGAAAATTCTAATTGAATCTCCGAAGAGCAACACAAGTGCACTAGAAAGGCTTCTACTTGGCTAACTGGAGCCATGTGTTATTTCTGGTCTTGAGATAATAGGTAAATAAACTGAAAAAAATAAAACTATTCAAAATTATTAATGGGCTGGAGAGATGGCTCAGCAGTTAAGCATGCTGACTGCTCTTGCAGGGGAGCCAAGTTCAGTTTCCAAAAGCTATATTGGGTGGCTCACAACTGCCTGAAACTCCAGCTCCAGGGGACCCAACCCCCTCGTCTAGTTTCCGCATACACCTGTACACATTTGGCATATAGTCCCACAAGCACACACATGCACAGATCTAATTTTAAGAAGCATTACGATGGAGTGAGTACTAAGTGAGAGCACAGGCAGGAGTGCGTACAGTTAGGTTACTGCACTCAGCACTCACTGTAACTTTATGGAAAGGCGTCCCTTGTGACAGACAGTTGGCTGAAATAAAATAATTTGCTAAAGTCATAAAGATACTGATAGATCAATCTGTAATATGAATCTATCCTAAGGATTCAAAAACCAGTTACTAAGTATTATTGTGGTTTAATTATCTAAGTTATCTGGTTGAATTATCTGAGTCACTGACAAGAAACCTTTCCTACCTGAACTTAAGCAGCTTCTTACCTGTAAGATGAGGAAATTTGGTGTTCTCTGTCCTCCAGCTGGGTTTTGAATTCCTACTTGATCATCCCCCCTGCCTCCTCTAAATATAACCTCAAGTTAATGTCTTGAACAATGCACACACATGTGCCTTACTTTGGCTTTCTATTGCTGTGAAAACCACTGTGTGCAAAAATAAAATAAAAATAAAAATTAAAAAAAAATCTGGCTTGGAGGGAGAAAAGGTTTATTTCAGCTTATATGTCACAAAACATTACAGAAGGACTCCAGAGCAAGGATCAAGGCAGAAATCTAGAGTCACGAACTGAAGCAGAGTCTACCACTTAGGAATACTGTTTAATGGCTTGCTTTCTTGCTCACATTCAACTATCCTTCTTATACAGCCTAGACATACCTGTCTAGTGATGGTACCTCCTATATGAATTAGTCATCAAGAAAATGACCCAGGACATGCTCATAAGCCAATCTGATGAAATAACGTTCTCATTTGAGGTTCCCTCTTCCTGGGTTGTCAAGGTTATCAACAAGTTAGCCATTGCAGCACGCATTACCTTATAGGTTTGCAATATAGAAGACCACTATACATTTCCCAGGACCCCTATAATGGTGGTGACAAGTCAGGGGTCCTTCTGCAGGCTGAAGGAAAATCCACTCCCTTCCATTTCATAGATTCTGGAACCCATTTTAGTGGTAATGCATGTGCCCAATCATTCCTGTGTTTTTTTATAAAACACACACACACACACACACACACACACACACACACACACACACACGCTACCTTTCACTCCTCTTGTCTCTCTTTTCTATAGACTGATGTGAGGACATTGGACATACTCATGTTATACAGGAGGTTCTCTCCATGTTATAGTCCTGAACTCTGTCACATCATAAAGAACATTACAGAACAGACATATTAGGACCATTATTCACCCCATCACAAGCTCTGATTTCTTTTTCTGATAGTTAGCCCTATCATAAAATCTGTAATTGGTAACTATAGAAAGGTATGCACCTTAGATGTCCCTTTGTCCTAGCTGTGATGTTGTATCATTCAGCAAGATGACACATTTCATATGGCTCTTATACTCAATGTGCAGTCTCTCTTTCTGTATGTGGGTTTGTTCTTAGTATTGGGTATTCATTTGTCTAATCAGATGCCCTTTATCACTCACAGCCTCATCACTCACATTCCTTTGAGAAATGGTTTCTTTCTGGACCCAGACTGGCAGCCAGCAAGCCCTGGTGATCCTTCTGTCTCTGTATCCAATAGCACAATTGTTACAGACATGAGAACGTGCCACACTTTTACAAGCTCACTTGCATATGTGCATAAACATGAAACATGTATTCAATAGAACAAATTAACATTTCAGTTCTTATACTAGAGAAGGAGAGGTGCTGGGGATTTGAACTCATGTTCTCAAGTTTGCTCAGCAAGTGGTCTCACCTGCTGAAACATGTTACCTTTTCATTCAAATAGTACACTTTAAGAAGACCTAACTAAATAATTGCTTGAAGAAGAAAATAATGTCTATGGAATGTCTTTTAGGCATACTGCTGGGCATTTCCTACTTGCTCTCTATGAATTAGAAATAACACAAGAAATATTTTAAATTCAATCAGGGTAGAAATGTACTTTAAGTGAATTATTTTGCTTATTCGTAATGATGTATCAATTTTAAGAATTACTATTTTTGAACTTATTCTTTATTAACTACAATTTAGTGTTAAGTGGAAATGAAAATAGCCATTGCCATCAGGAGCATTGCAATCACAGTTAGCAACAGCGTTGTGTTAAAACATATTTTTGTCTCTGAAAATTAATACACGAATTTATTTGCTTAGAAGGAGAAAGGTTTAGAAGAAAATCTTCAGAAGGATCAAGAATAGAGCCATTCAAATGAAGAGATGGGTTGTCTTCCAACATTCTGTAATCACAGTGCACAAGCTGTAGAGATGAACTACCATGAGCTGAAGGGGACAGGAGAGGCCATCTTGTTAGCAACATGGTTAGCTCCTAACTTTATCACTCAGGAAATGGAAGGAATACTGCTTAATTCTGGTCTTTTATTGTCTCCTTCAGGTAGCGCTGGCACCCCAGTGATGTTTAACAAAAATGGGGATGCTCCTGGGCGGTATGATATCTTCCAGTACCAGACAACAAACACCACCAACCCTGGTTACCGTCTTATTGGTCAGTGGACAGATGAACTTCAGCTCAACGTGAGTTTTGATTGTTCCTCTCTTTCCCTGGTATAATAATAATTGGGGTATTATGATTATGCCTAAAAGAGGAAATTAAATTGGTTTATCAATGTTTCTCAGTATACACTTCAGCACCAATGTTAAGTTTCTGCAGGTGTGACTTTTTCATGTACATAAGAATTCTCACCTGGCTCTTATCGACTAGAGTATAATCTGGAAGTCCTTAAACCAGCTCATTTTGTTTTATTTGAATTCATCCCTCATAAGAATTGTCTGCAACTGGCCATTCAGCAAGTTGTTATTGTTTTGTTTCTTAGATATCCTTCCTATGATAGGTACCATGAGAGGCAGTAGGTAGGTACACAGTGGAGACAAACAAATGAAACCTCATATCTCACACAACTGACAACCTAGCATACAGATATAAGGCACACAATTGAACAAACATGCTTGCAGAAATTACAATGTGTGGTTGAAAGATGATAGGAAACAGGATAGAGGAAATGGAAAGAGAGGGGTCCAAGGAATGGGAATCCACTAATGTGGAAAACATGGGTGGCGGCAGGCCAAACGGCTTAGTCAGAGATAGTGAGCCACTAGAAAATAAGGGAGAAGTCCTAAGAGGTATGGGACTAACATGCAGTCATGTTAATGCAGTTCTTTGCACACCATGGGAAAACTGCTTACTTTTATTTCTCAGATAATTTAAAATTACTTAAAATTAAGCAAAGGTGTGACTACATAGAAACAAAATAAAAATTATATTTTTAGTTTATTTTAAAATTTTAAAAATAAACATCACTTTGAGATGCATGGAAGATAGCTGAGGGGACATAGCTAAGCCACCCTCAATCTTCACTGTTCATCAGAGCCAACTGGAGGCTCATTAAGTCTAGAAAGTGGGGCCCATCTCCTGAGTTTGATGCATTAGATCTGAAGTTTATGCAGAACCAAATGTTTGCCTTTCTAAAAAGTCCACAGGGAGTGCTGATGATCCTTTGAGAATCCTTGCCTGAAACCTTGCCGGAAAGCTCTGTTTGACCATGGAAATGAAGCTGAGCGTGTGGTGGATGTGTGTTACTTGAAGGGCTTTGTGGCTTCTGACAGTACTTTAGAAGAGACCAGATGCTAAGAGTGGGAGGAAGGAAATCAAGAATTACAAGTATTTGGAATTTTTAAATATATGGGACTTCCTAGACCTGTACGCGTGAGATGGGCGTCAAGAAGGGAATGGAGGTACGGCCATACAAAAAAGTGCCCATTCCCAATCTGTAAATGGCTTGAAAATCCACTGGGAAAGAAATGGAGAATAAGAAGGACTCCCCCAGGCCTTGAATATCTCTGAAAATGATACCTTTTTTTCTAGTACTCCATACAGAGCCAAGTCTAAAATAGTATATCCAATATGCCTGGAATTGAGTGGACCACATGCTTGGGATATTTGTTTGACTCTGGGATGAAAATCAGAGATCTCTGACCTTGCATTAAATGAGCATTTTTTTATTACATTTTATGACACTAATTGTAGTGTGCTAGTGTGCGAGTTGGTAACCCAAATCTCATACGGATGTCTTAGTTAACTCTTGGGTTGCATGGGAAGTATAAGAATGGATGACTGAGACACAAAGGCCATTTTGACAGGAATGGGATTTTGACAGATGGTAGATTCAAATGACATGGCCACTGAGTTAAGTGGTCTGAATAGGAGGTCACTGTGTGCAAACCTTTTATTGTTAAAGTGAATTTAATCATTTCAGGCAAGTGATAAAAATAAAAAGTAATTCTAGTACTCACAATGAACCTCACCCTGCACACATGGAGATTCAGAGCTATGGTCTAGGTGTCCCATCTGGTGGCAGTCTCCTGGGTAACATCATTTTGTCTATGTTGTCCCTTTTGTGATGCCTCTTGTGATTCTTTTTTTTTTAACTGCTAGAGTGAAATTTGAGCAAGCATTTCTGTTAGTTCACTTTCTTCTTTTCAGTGGAACAAAACAAAGCATTTGAAGTAATGGTTCTACTTCTCATTTACAAAGACTCAAGGGTGCTTTTTCAATCCCTAGCTACATCTTTTCTAACAAATGAAATTTTTAGGAGTACTTCCTCTGAGGTCAGTAATTGCAAATTAGTTTCTGAGCCAATGTAGTTTTCAGTTTTCAGCATCCCAGTGCTGCAGACCAGGCTGCCCAGCTTTCCAGGATGTGATCTTCCTGAATGTGAAAGCCTAGCAGTGTGCCATCTATTACAGAGCATCTCATGTTCCCTTCCTACCAGCATTGTCGCTCCAAGACTTTATTTTCCCGTAGCTTAATAAAAGATAACTACGTGAAATGATGCTCGGGCATTTCTGCATGAACAACAACAACAAAATTCTGTGAAAGGGAATTAGGAACAAAGAAATTGTTTACTTGGCCATTTGAAAATTACTATAGAAATAAACTTGACTCAATTACTTATGTTTCTATTGTACTGTCAAGAGATTACATGAAGTAACTGCAGAGGAAAGAAGGGACAAGTTCTGGGTCAGGCAATGACAGCCAATGAAAACGCTAAGATAAGCAGGTGTGGGTCTCTGTGTTCTGAGAGCACAGACTGTAATGAGGAGATTATAATACGCATAACACATTTTAGGACACATAACTATTGGCTTAAGGAAAGCTATCAAATGTTTTATTTGGTCAGTATATTGAAGGGTCAGTAGTATTTTCCTTGAAAGAGATGAGAAAAAAAATGCTTGGGAATGAGTAATGTAGTTTTGTTTCAAAATTGAAGTAGACGTCAGGAAAAATAAAGAAATGGAATGTGTGTGCTTCAATCTTTTCTATGCCTATATTTGAAGCACTGTGTGGGCTATTTGTTATAGAAACAAAAGTGATTGTTATTGGCTTCAATATATTCACTTTAATAGGCATATGCTTTCTGTAATGTTAACAGTGGGGAGGGGATAACCAAGGGACAGCTGCCAACTCCACCCTGGAATCACGTTCTTCTGGTTCTTAAAAGTGATTTTCTTTAAAAATATCATCTTTACTTTATCTGGAATTCGTAGAAAATTCAGATATGCCCAAATGGTTAATCATGCAAATAGCTGAAATTCAAATAACAATACATTAAAATTTTGTTGTTGTTTTCTTTTTAAAATTTACTCTTTTTTATTTTATATATGCATGAGTGTGAATACATGTACCAGAGAAGAAAAAAAAGAGGGTTAGATCTCGTGGAACTGGAGGCATAGACCATACTGGAATGAAGCCAGGAGGTTTTAGAAGAGCTATTCCCCCTCCTACCCACTGAGCAATCTCTCCAGCCACCTTTAATACTAGTCTTAATGGGCAAATTGCCAGAGATTTGATTCTCTTAGAGATGAGGCCAGGGGAATCTTGCTGAGACTTGTGTAAATGATTCAAGTTACCATAAGGTTACCTGTTCTTGAGGACACCCTAAGGATAATGGGGTTTTCAGCTCTTTCTCTAATTTCCATTGTGTTGAACTTACAGTTAATACTTGGATATTCAAAACTCCAAGAATTGAATCCAGGTTGACGTCATATTTTATGTGTGTTAATATGTTAAGCATTGTGATTTTTGTCAGTTAATATATAAATCAATGGAGAGTGAAGATAGAATGTTTTCCAGCACCCATTAGCCTCCATTTCTTGATAAATGGTTTCCAATTACCATGACAGCAACAGATGCAATGTAAGTCAGACAGTGTGGCCATGGTGATGCTGAGGGACGTTTAGCCAAGGCTGTCCTCAGATAAACTGCTGCATGGCTACTGCCCTGTCTAGGTAGTCAACATGCTATTCCTACGTATAGCCAGTGAACATATTCTCAGGAGCTCAGGGACCTTGGGTTTGAGGCTACAATGTACAATTTCCAGCGAAGAAAAGCCAAAACTCAGAAGGAGAAACTAGATCGAGAAACTAGATCTGTGTCTTACTGTTTGAGCCTCAGGAATCCCTTCACTGGAAGCTGTTTGAATGCTTTCTGGAGTCTTCTGTTATCATCACATTAGAAAAAGAATTCAAGTAAGATAGGATTCACCTGCAATCTTACCCACCATTGTAATCAACAAAGAAACAGTAATCAGAGTGTAGCAAGAAACACTGGTAGCTCCAATACTTGAGGATGAAAGGCAGGGTATTTGGGAATTCTAGGCCAGACTGAGCTACACTGGCAAATCCTGTTTTAAAATATGAAGGGTCTGGGTTAGTGATATGGTACAGCTAGTAGAGGTACCTGCTTTTACTCTGGGGAGGTAATGAGGGAAACAGTTGATGTCATGAGTTCAATCACTATACTCTGCAAAGTGATAGGAGAGAACCAACTCCTGAGAGTTGTCCTCTGTCCTCTACAAGCACTTTCATTGGCACAGATCACATGCATTAATTAATTGATTGATTAATTTTAAATTAATGGGGTAGTTGTACCTTAATGATAGTATTCTTCAGTAGTATGCTCAAGGCCATGGGGTCCATCACTAGAACTAAAGAAAAAGAAAAAAGAAAAATAGATCTGGACATAGGCTGAGAATGGAAAAGAAAAATAAAAGTCAAACACACTTTGTTGGGCAGAAGTTTTCATGGCACTAATTAAAAATTAATATCTAAAATGTTAATTTTGTTAAATACTAAATCTTTCACCTTCATTAGAATTTTAACTGTTGCAGACATTTAAAGACATGTGAATAGTTGATTTTCAAAATTACCATTTATTAAAATTAGGCATCTCAAATCAATACTTACTTCTATCTACCTATAAGACTACTAATCATCCTATTGTTTGAAAATTACAGCGGTATAATGTTTATTAAAAATCTAATCACCCTTAATTTACAATGTAATTGATTAACATAGGGCAATAGCCATACTTATTCCAATATTGGCAGAAAGAAAAATATGTACATTATCAAAATATAGTACTCCAGGGGTGGAGAGATAGCTGAGCAGTTAACAGCATTTGTTTACTTGCAGAGGACCCAAGTTCAGTTTCCAGCACTAAGATCATGTGGCTCACA